TTTAGAAACCTACAACACCAGCTATAAACCACAACCAAAGTCAAACCTTCTGCTTTTGGACTATCTATATACCTGCTAATACCTGATAAGTGCAATCTCAATTCCATTTTTTACCATCGAGTGAGGGGATGTAATGATCTACGTAAGTCCCAATCCAAGATGCATTCATTCTATCCGAATAAAATGCCATTAAATCTCTGAGTTTGAAAACTTCAAGCAGCCAGAATCGCTTGATATTACTTTTTGTGAGATGTAGTTGTCAATGCTGTGACTGTCGGGAAGTTCCTGAAGCCCACGACATATTATATCCCCTATTGACTGTGGCGTTCCTGAACTCATAAAACTGCCCAAGTCGATTTCTTATGCACTCAACCTTATTGATATACACTACTGGTCTTTGCTGTTGAGAGGTTCTATGGAGGAATATAAAGCTAAGTTGATCAAACAGACAAAAAATAAAACAAGATTCCTTGATTTTGTGAGGCTTCTGTTTTAGAAAGCCGTTGGTAGCCTGACATCTGATATACTGAGTTAACCCATCTTGAATATAAAATTGGAAATTCGCAATTTCGTGGAATATAACAGGTTTGTGTATATCCCATTCATTTTTATCTTCTGTGGTTTTTCGAGGTTTTCCCGCTATATTTCCAATCAAAATCTACTCCATAGTTGAAAAATATTTTGTGTTTAACAAACGTAGATCCGTTTAACTTACAATACAGTATCTATTTTATACCATGCAATATTTTGAAGTTTAAAGACTAGCCAGTGAAAGCGCTACGTGTAAAACGCTGCAGTCTACAATGATGTTGTGATATGACCTCCATTAATTTTATCTAAATTTTTCCAGATGTGAAGGTAGAGGCTGCATTAGCTGAAGGTAATTGTCTTTTTCGAAGTACGCTTGCTAAAAAAGGGACAGGATCCACGTACATGATGGATCATTTCATGAAGGTTTTCATCCATGATTAGACAACTGACTGAGCATAACACTGAGCAATAGTTAAACCAGTAATAGTCTGACGTCGTTATCGGACATAAAATAAGAAGTCATTATTTTATATAAGGCACGGTACTACTTTTTGTTTTCGTAATGTCGTAAACGCATGGTCGCGGACATCGGAGCTCAGAGGGTTGTGCGCTTTTATTCCTTTGATACTTAGTAAAGGGACGCGCATGGAGGGTTTAGACGCTTCCCTGAATACATTTTCCAGACTACCGACGACAAACCAGGAACCTGCCTTTAATTCTTAGGTAAATCGGGCTTCGCTGCACCTTCATGTAAAATTCTAGGTCTTCTGCAGGAATCGGTAGTCGGTCACACGACATTTACCTACAACTCTTCAGTATTTATAATTAGCAGAACCAGTGAACAGGCTAACAGGCTAAAATTAGACACCAAATCAAATCCAGCGATTGCGCGAACCGGTCGGTCAAAATGTCCTATGGCGAACTTTGTACCTGCACGCCCACCTACTATGACCAAAGTGGATAAAGCGCACGTTAAACTCCCCCAAACTATATATGAATTTTGAGCCCCTGAGTTTCTCCCGGTGCCCTCATAACCTAGCTAACCAAGCCCTCTGTATAAAGTTGTTCGAAAGCTAATGTTTTTTCATGCTGTTTTCGTTAGGTTAGGCTACCTGAAGATTTATAGTGTTTTTAAAAGATTCATAAACATAACGCGACAGTTTGAAAATATCAATGGCGGAACCCCACAGTATGAATGGCTGGTAGCTACATGCAATCATCAATGAACCTTGTAAATAAATAATCACATTTGATTGTTTAAACTCTGGACACCCGGTAGCGCAGCAGCTGACAATTTTTTCAATCTTGATACTTAAACGTGGGGATACAATTTTGAGCAAATCGACGAGACTGTAACCCTACATGATCTAGAGTTTAAGCTTGTCTGTTTTTCACAGCAATAAACATACGCCAGTGATGGGACGTTCGATGTGATTCGATTGGATGTATCTGGACAAACGTTTGATTCGGACTAGCAATTTTCCGCTGATATTTGCAGTTTGGATGCGGATATATAATTACTTTATCCTGGGAGGAGAAATGCCACATAAATTAGGATTTTATTCGATAAACTTTCGTTTTCACCGCAATAATGTGCTCGGAATTAAGCACGTTGTCTTTCAATAAATATCAGGGATAAAATTAGCAGGCGTAAAAAAACCGTGAAGGTTTAAATTATGACAATCGCTGGTGTTCATAAATGTTCAAACACTGTGTTGTTACAATCCGGAAAATTTAAGCGGCCAGTTGTCGCTCCGAATGTAAGTTTCGACTTTCATTGAATAACCAGGGTAGGCGGAAGATGTATTACTTACAGTGGGCCGTGGTCTCAAAAATGTACGAAGAAATGTAATCGTTTAGCATTTCTATGCCAATAGGTGTTTAGGGCATCACGAGCAATAGATTTGTTTTAAAACGATGTTTAACCCATCTATTCCTTGTGTGCATAGAATAAACTGAGAAAGAATCTGTTTTTATCTTGCAAGGTTAATAGAAATCTCTGCGTCCGATTCGACAACGCACACAATTTATCTCCTTTATCCGCGTTAAATAATTATCCAAGCACGTATCCGCATTACTTTGGGCAGCCTAAAACCTGCATTTGCACAAGTATTCAAGAAATAGTAACCGTACTCTGGAGCTGCACGCCTTATTGACTCCGTGAATGCGGTATTATTAATGGTTTTCTGGTGTTCGATTGGGTGACTGCTTAGTTTTTTTGATCACACACACAAATATTTCCACCTTTAATTTTGTATACAAACTCTAAAAATCACAGTACCAAGTAAAATATATTTGACTCACATCTTCAGCCACATTTGAATGTTTTATCACTTCGGAGGATAGTTTAGGCCCCCTTAGTTTACCAGTCCGTTAATCGCTTCCCGCAATATCTGAACTGACACTTTTCCTTTCGTGATTAACTTCTCATATGATAAAATAGTTAGTAAGTTGATCGGTTTTGGCATTTATTTTCTTCCTTAATAATAACAACCTGAATTATGGGACATATTACCACTTCCACCAAATTTATCAAACAAACTACGCCAATTTTCTATCAGTGCATCCATTGATTCCCATGCACCATTCCAGTACAAAAATGTGTGTCTGGAGGTTAGTTTCATCCTATAACAGATACTTCGAAAATTAGTAACTACATCGTCAAGCTTTATGTAGTTTTTTTGCATGCGCACTAAAAATGACTTTTAAAGAGAACAAAACAGCTCTGCATTATTTATCGGCATTTTGACAAAGACTTGTAATACTTGCGTGACCAAATCCCAATTGAAAGCTCCAGTCTCATCAGAATATCAACCTAACGTTGACAACCCTCACTATTTGTTAGGATTGCTGACGTTGTGGGAATTTCAGCAAAAGAGCTGCAACATCTCGCTTCAGGTGCATTTGGATATGTTGTGAAATCAAAAAACTACGCATCAAAATACTGTGTTAGGGGCTAAATTATAAAAACATTTCCTTCTCATCATCTGCATTCCCGATTTCCAACGGTTGTTAACGCAAAATTTGGCTGACCGTTACCTCAAAGATTGACGACCAACCAGTTGCTGTTCTTACGGCCCTTATTGCTTCAAATATACGAATATATTTTAAGTAGTACACATTGATGGAGTCCGTAAGGCATACCAGACCACGCCCCGGATGAGCTGTTGCAGCAAGTTGAATTTGGTACAATTTAGAAAGCGTGCTTGTCAACGAAAGTTCCAGTTTTCCAGGTTTATTTGGATCAGCCATTTACTTATTAGTCAGAGTTAGTCAAACTAGGGGGGAAGGGTTAGAGATCCCATAACAGTCTGCAATTTTCGCGTTATAACACGGAAACTATTAGCGTAGTACCTTTGCTACAGAACATTATTTGACAAACTTTAATACAACTTAAAACCTAACCGTCAGGCCTAGGTCAGAGAAATGGAGTCGGGCAGCTCAGCCTACCGAACACGTATATTTTCATTATCTCAGTTTTAATGATACTTTACAAAGCGTTGATTCCAAAACTTGTGGGGAATATATTTTTAAATAAACGAAATGGCGTTTTTCATTTCATATGACTGATCGTCAAATTGTGTCTAGCGGTTATGTAGTTCTAAAAACCAAGACAAATAGAACAACGAGTCGGAATTCCGCATGATTGTACCAGGCAAGGACATGTGGGAAGGCTCGTGGAATACCTTCCAGAATGGAAAGAATCTACATTACATGGCAAGAAATAGCAGGATAGTGTTAGGGTCTAATAGGATGTAAAACAAACGATTGGTTTGGCCAGCACAGTTCCTGGTGGGACGTCAAATCTAACAAGCTGAAAAATTTTCCTAGGAAACCGAAAATCTTCAATGAAGCGTTTGCCAAATTCACCGTCCGTTTCCACCATCCTTCAACAACTGTTTTAGCTAACTTTGCTCAACCATAATTTTAAAACAAGTAAACATGCGTCTTTGCAAACAGATCTAATCAAACGACAAGACCAGATTAGAATCGACATTTCTCATCTTACTTATCCAAAATAAGTCGTTTCTATTAGTATGTTGACACGCTCAGGTTCATTGCGTTTTTGTGCTTTCGCAAATGAGCACCGGCTAAACTCAGCTGGTGTAAAACAAACCTGCTATTCATATAAGCGAACGAATGATATCATCCAACTGGTTCATGCTGTTGAGCCTCCTGGACGTTGACACCATTCTTCTTTCGCTCACTGTTCCGTTATTTACGGTAGTGGTTGTAACAAATGTGGCACCGGAACAACATTTTACTTCCGTTTTCCCACACATTTTTTTCCTTCAAACTGTGGTGGAAAAGGACACTGGATACAACAATCTCACATGAATGTGACATTACTGAAGACTTACAACTATTTTTTAAAGAGGTATTTGGGCGAAATAGTTCTGTGCTCAGTTACAGCCATGGCCACATTCTTATTTGCCTTGACACACTGCTCAAAACAAAGTCCCTTGCAGGCTGGTATTACCGTCACATCCAATATTATGACACGAATTACTGTATTTTCTCCGACCAAAACACAGAAGCCGAAACTACCACAGAAAAATGTAAGTGTGGGACTGAAAGAAGTGCTACTGAAAACAAAACAATCGAACTAACTAAAGACCACCAAAAATGGCAAACTGCATGCACCTTATCAAATAATACAAACGAAATGTTCTTACATTACGGCAAAACAGTTTAATCGAAAGCTCCATTCGGATTCGAATGCGTTTTGCTAAATCGACTGTGCCTAGCATTTACTCATTCGATATGCCTCCTCCTCTTGGACAACGGATGGCGTTTGTTCGACGAAATTCGGCATTTATTTCTAAACAGAAATTTTCTGTATGTACTGAAAATATTCGGTGTGTATAGCATGCCAGTCAGTCAGACCACACCACATGCTGGAGGACATTGGAAGAGGTTATATCACTCCGGTGGTCCAATGCAGACAGCAGTTGGATCGCATACAAAATAAGTTTCCAGCTTTCTTGATCGTGGACAATTGCCGAACGGACAGATGGGTTACACTCTTGTCCATTCAAAAATGCTTTCAGAAGTATCTAAAAGTAGCGACCTGAAGTGCTTGGTTTTTTCCAGGAGGTCGTTACTAAAGCCAAGACACAGACAGCGTGTGGTACAGCTAGCGTGCATGAAGCAGCTCATGGACTCAAGCACCTCATTTACACGGAATATAGTGGAGTGGAGAGAATCACAGAACGTCTAACTGACGAGAAATATGAGGAATTCTATAATGGCCTGAAAAATTGTTAGATTTCACCCCACATTGAGATATCACTAGCGCAATTCCATTCGCGAGATCTTTCTGACAACGATTAGGACTATCATTCTGCAATTGTGGAGTGAATTCACCGGATGTCGTCACATGCGTTGCCCAAATGTGACCGCGGCTCCCACGTTAGTTTGTTAAACTGCAGGGCATGCTAGTCTTCAAATTCTCATTGATCTTATTCGATACACTATCCCTAGTGAAAATGTCCTAAAAATGAAGCTCCATCAATTTCATGAACATCCTATCAAGCAATAATCGCGGGCCATTGGCTAACTTGTGGTGATATATGTTCTATATTCCATTGCAAGCTGCACATTTTTGATCCACTGTTGACGTCCACACGCCTCATTCGATAGGCCCGATCGCAAACCACAAACGAACCTGAGAGAATGAAAATCGTGCTTAAAAAATGGGTGAAACAAATGTGGAAAGTGGCGGGTCCCGAGTTTCTTAAGCAGTGGGATATCTTGACCAAGGCTGAGACGTTCAATGTGCCGTTGCTGGTCTCGAAAACGCCAAAAAGCCTAAAGCCGCTGGTCAGTTTGTGCATCGTCAACCGCGGTGACGCACGTACATATACATATAGAATACATCCACTGGCACAATCAGTTTCACGGAGATACGGTCGGTGGACATGAAGAGTGTGCATTAGAACGTGAACTGGTGATAAGGACAACTACATTGTTTTGATGACTGGATTGCCTCCGTTGGTGGATAAGACTAACAACATTATTTGCTTTACATTGATCTAGTGAGATTACAGCCAACAATTTGATGAAATACGTCTTCGGGTATTACTCCGATAATTTTACCAGCTTATCTATCGGTGCTTTCTACAGTCTATGGATGCAGTACTCATAATTTCGATGAAACTGCCGTACTAATGAATACAACCCAAGAGTGGTTTTCGCAGGCAGGGCTAACGTGTGCTATTGTGTACAGATGTCATATACTGTCCACGAGGTTGCTGAGAATTATTCAAAAACTCACGACCGGTTTCACCCTTCTTGGGGCACATCAGGCACAATCCCCGAAACTCCATCAACTTGAATCCGAATTTCAAAAAATAAGCGCAGCACACTCATTGGCAAACCGATTCGGTTTTGCGAGGGACTCACCTGGTACCCAGCTGAATCACCAGACATATCTCACTTAATCGACACAGTCTCGCTTACGACACGCACTCAGACATTGGATATCATAGAGGTCACTTTGGGCATTTCTATGCAACTTCGGATGAGACAGTTTGCGCTTGACCCTAATTGCGCCGTATCACAATCCCAAACTTCTTTTGCTCTCCATGAATAAGGCGCTCGAAACACAGTATTACCACACCAGCGCGATCTCTGACTGAATTTCGGAAACTCTACCACCTTTCGGTGGGCTTAACGAATTTACGTCCGCAGAACTCCATTACTTGGGTGAGCCATTCATCAATTCGGACACTTCCTGGAATCCGCGTGCCCTCTCGCAAAGTATCTGGATTTCTTAGTATTCATCGATTCAACATTTAGGCCGACACTCAGATCATCAAGGCATTTCATATGTTTGAAATTCAAGAGATTGGTATTCGCTCGCGTCGAATCTGCCATAGCTCAGTGGAACACTCCAACCCGAGGATAGATCGCTTCTAGATAAAATTTGGTCACAACCTTCCTCCATCCCATTCCTAGCGGTCTAACGATCTTCTTGGACGCCGTTTCTAATGCTGGACAGACCGCTCCACTCAGGCCATATAAGCCTGGTTAGGTCTCTGATTGGTGAGCCAGTAGCCCTCGTCACGAGGTCACTTTCGTTTGCAGCCCTTAGATATTTTATCTGCATTGCTTAATCTCTCCTACTGAGCGTTTACCTTCAACTGAACACTGTTAAACAACGATATGTCTGACTGGAGGCACCGAACTAGATTCCAAAATGCATTGTATGTTCGTA